TCGAACTCGACTTCCATCATGAATGGCGAATAATAGAATTGAACTGGTGGAAGTTAAAAGCAATTTAGAAAAACTAAATTAAGCCAGCGTAAATGTCTGATAAGCTAGAATGAAAGCATTAATATGCAGAGTATCGTTTATCTAAACTAATTATAGCATTGAGAGAGAACTTGGTGATACCGAGACCTAAAATGTTTTGAACCAAATGAATATTCAAGTGGCTAAACAATATTTGCATTATTTGGGCAAACTGATGACCCATCATACCAAGTAAAGCGCATTGAATATTCATTTGTCTAGGAAGAAGGATCATGCAATATATCCTCTACGATATTGTGGAAAATATTTAAAATTTTCGAAATTAAGTAGCTTCAAGGGTGAAATGCGCCAGCCTCATCAGCTCCAGTGAACTGTGTGGGGTAAAAAAATTGAAACTAATGGTCTGAAATGTATTACCTCAGTTTTTATAAAGCACATTCGATGTCCATCAATCTTCTTCCGTTGCTAGTTTTTCTGGGAATATTTACACGTTTTTATCCACGCTCCATACACCAGCCATAAATCTCCTGCAAGCAGATGATAATGAGCAAATTGTTGAACAAACTTATGAACTTTGATGTTTTTTTCTGAGTTCAATCTTATTTTGTATTCAACGCTCCAATGGCAGTATTGATTTTTCTGAATCCGCTACCATTCACTTCGTCCGATTTAATTTGGGATTGGCAATTTAATTGCCTTTTTGATAGCACTTGAACTCGAAGAATCTGAATAATTTTAAAGGGTTCTAGATGAAAGTGCCGCTGACTGCTTCTAATGAATCATTTTATAAACTTTCGAAAATAAATATACAAAACATTAGGATTATTATAATAATATTATTATATAATATATGCTAAAGATCAGTATTAAGCATGTTTAAAATTTAACTCTCTTGAACATGCAGTTGGAATAATTTACAAACCAAGCCGTCAACAGATTTGATAAGCAAATCATGAAAAATGATACCGAATTTTTGTTTGATGTTAATAACTCTCTATTACCTGGCGGTGTCTATTCAACTTGCTCGAATTTGTGGGCGGAATTTTAATTAAGTTTCCAGTTCCATATGTGCTTTGACAAAAAGCCCTTGTGTCACATTCTCTATCATTTAACCGGATTATTGAGCTATTTTATCAGGAAAATTTTGCATAAATCGTGCCCAGGAATATCGGAAATAGACAAGCAACTCTAAAAACCGCGTTTTTCCTTAGCAGAATTAATTTTCACCGTCAGACTCGAATATTGAATAGATGAATTGCTCATTATGGCGCAATATCAAAGAAACCACCATGCTAGTCCAACTATAAACTTTGGGCGATTTGATTCAGAATATCTGATGGAAAAGTTCATTTTAGATCGAAGGGCCCGAAAGCTTATTGATTACTTCCATTCTCAAAGTACTAAATCTCCTTTAGTTTGAGTAAGTTTCCATTGAATGCAAATAAAGTTCAATGAGTTATGAGCTTCTTTTTCTTCAAGTTTTTGCACGTGGAGTTCAGTAAATATCAGCTAGATATTAAAGAGTTATTTATAGCTAAGTGTTATAACTTGTAAATGAAAAGCACAAACTCTAATAAATTTGGTGCATGAAGCCCATCAAGCTGAAATAATAAGATGAGGAAAATTCGAGCGCAAATGTTTTAAGTTACAAGAAGGCAAAGACAGTAAATCTATCACGTTCTGTTTGCTTTAAAAACGTTTTTTTTTAACATTTTTCTGTTCAGAACTGATCCAACTGAATATAATCACAAATACAACGGTACCGAAAAATTTACAATTAGCGCCATGGTTCTAGTTGATGCTTATTTTCTTAGCTTCTCTACCGGGAAAACCTACTTTTTAAAGAAATATTCATCAAAAGCAATTCATTATTCGACAATTCTGCATTGTTGAACATTTAGATTCTTTGCATGGCTAGCAATACTCAAAAAGTTGTTCCAATCCAATTGCAAATTTACTTTACAAGAGACAATTAATTTCCTACAATATTCCTATGAGAAATTATGGAAGAAGATGGAGAATCCTTATTCAATAAAAGCTGGCAATGTAATATATGTATTCATATACATATATATTGATCCATGCAATTAAGAACTGTAAGATTTGAATATCTTCTTTCACTTGCTGGCTGTTTTCACCTGCTGGCATTGCGAATTTATATACGAAGCAACAAGTGAACTTCGTAGATGAAAAATTCTCAAATGTAGTTAAATCAACAAAATTAAAATTAAATAAATAATCAAAATAAACAAATTTGAACTCCCACAAAATCGAAGTTTTCGGATATATTGTTACAGAAAAAAATGTAAGGTTTGACGAGTTTTTTGTATCAGGGTTAAGATTTGAAAACCTGTGCATATTTACAAGAACTACTACCGCATTTTCGTAAAGAACGATGTAATCAAAGTACTCCGATTCATGTTTCAAAATGGTCAAATCAACCAAATTTGCGTAAACCGCTTCAGTCCAAGTCAGTATTAATTATATTCCGGCAATTACAGTTCAAAATTATTACTCAGTCTATGTTTAGCTTTATGAACTGACTGAATTAGATCCCAAATGAATGTCCACAAATCAGTGCGTCATTCACTACAAATGATAGAACTGCTATTAAATTAGTAAGATTAAGCTAGTTATTAGGCATTCTCAGAAATCTCAATTACCGCTGTTTCGAGCGGAGTTATGAAACAAGAATCTAGTTGGTGTTTTCATAACGGTTCTGCGAACTGGAGGTATAGTTAGACCTTTGATTTAATGATTGCTTAATAGTTAACGGAACTTGGATAAATTATGTGACGTAATAGTTGGATATATTTTTGTTTTTTTAACTTGCATGCACCTAATATCAATTCATAACTGAAAAATTGACTACCTTTAATTATTTTTTTTGAAAGCCAGTATTGTTATATGTGCAGGAAAAATTTTGTCAAAAAAGGACTCGAAAATAGCCAAATGATACTAAAAGCGTCAGAAAATAGCGCGACTTCCGTAGACAACAATATTGTGTACTAAAATATACAGTTTGAAATCCAAACATGTTTATTTAAGAAAAAAACATTATACTAACTACTTGTCTTTCGCAATGGAATAAGCGAAGTGCGAGCCACAGAAATAAAACCGACCAGTAGAATAAACTACTCACTTACGCTACCATTGAATCACTATTTAATGTGCACTAAAACACCATGATTTAAACGGATATTTGAACTGGTTAAGACCGCGTTATTGAGTAGTATATTAACATCGGTTGTTGGTTGCAACGAATTTTTACCTGAATGGAAATCTTCAAGTTCAAATTAAAAAAATAATAAAATAACGCCTTTGAGAGATTCTGTTTATGTGCTTTGCTGACAATTATTACCTGTGTAGTGTGAAACTGGTCTTCAATTTAATTAATGTGACTAGATTTTCAAAATACTCTCACTCTAAAGGAGTGCAGATATTTCTCTGCGTTTTCTCTGCTATTGAAAATTTCATTTTGCAACCTCGGCTAATAAAAATTAATGCAGGGTACATTTAAAAAAAGTAGGCAATTTTTTTCTGGCAAAATGGAAAACACTTTTAAATATTTACCTGAAACCCACACTCAGTTGAACTGATAAAATGAGTCTACCTACCTTTCAGGTGTCGGATAGGCATCTTCGGATTTAAGAGAATTAAGCATTTATATTGGCCTAAAGCTGTGTAGAGCGGGAGCTTAAAATAGTATTAGCAGAATCGTGTTTGAGATAATCTGCGAATTGGGGCAACGTACTTAGAGATTGCACCTAAAAGTAATTTATAACCATGTTAATCAATTCCTACTAATATGGTAAAAGCAAACTCCTCTAGGAGTTGCTGATTAGCGAAATAATCCTGCTCAGAGACAGTCGGAACATCTTAAAGTTTCATTAAATTTTCAACTTTCCAGTTGCAGACAGTTAAAAATTATCTTTATTTCCAGCTGAGCTTTATTGAATAAATAAAATTCTGGACATAAACAATCAGTCTAATTTCTGACAAATTTGTTGTCTTCAATGCTCGCGGGAATTCATACAACTAATGACCAACTCTAAAATTATTTGGGCCCCGCGATAATATTATTTCGGCCGAGCAAAAATATTCAGCAAATTATAAATTAGCCGGAAAGGGACATTGAAGCGGTTAATTCTGTCCCAAAATGAGCGCCATTTAAGTTATTTATTACGAGTGCTCTTTTTGCTTTCGGCTCGATTTTAAACGGTATAAATTAGAACAAAGGTGGTGCTCGAAAATGCACAGAAAAACCTTAATTACGAGCTGCAAAATATAAATTAGACCGTTTCCGCTGTGAATGCACACTAAGTACGGCCAGTATGTAGGGTTTTATTATGTATCTAGATTTATTGTCGGTATATCAGGAAATGTAGGAAAGAGCGTGCAATATGCTCAGAGCCATTTCTACGTTGGTAAATGGATTGAATTTTCATATGAAACATTTCAAATATATTCAATAATAAATGAATATTGGCCTTAAAGCGGTGACTTGCCATAAAGAAATATCGTTTTGCATTTATGATTGAGATTTTTCCATTGATTAGGTCGTGAGTAAAGTAAAGCAAGCAAATATACATACCGAGATGTAATGGGAAAATGGGAATATTTTTGCTGTATCCGAAGAACCATCAATCATAGATGTTTATCATTGAATGGAAGACCAGACAAATCAGTGTTTTGATTTGCTTTGACGGTTTAATTGCATTGCTATGTATTATTTTTGTTTTAGTTCCATTTGCGAATTAATGCCAGAGAACGGCCACAACTAATTCATTACATTTAATTCCATTAAATGTGCTTAACGTTGCTTCGCTTCGGAACAGTAATCAAATATTCAATAACTTAACTTTACTTGGGCGAAACAAAAACAAATAATCGGTCAATGACACGTTTAATAATATTTTTATTCAACTCAAGGGGGGAAATAAAAAAATGTGATATTTCAGGTTTGGACCTTTGGTGATATTTGGTGTCGGATCTGGCTGGCCGTGGACGTGTGGATGTGTACAGCCTCAATTTTGAACTTATGTGCCATTTCCCTGGATCGATACGTGGCTGTTACCAGACCCATCACTTATCCAAGCATAATGTCGAAATCCAGGGCCAAAATGTTGGTGGCAGGCTTGTGGGTGCTAAGCTTTGTGATATGTTTTCCACCTTTGGTTGGGTGGAAGGACTCAAAGGTAAGTTTGAAAATATGATTTTAGTTCTGCTTTTGCTGGAGTTGTGTAAATGAGAAAAGTAGCTGATGTTGCTCAATGAAAGTTCAACGTTCTGTGATAATAAATTTGGCCAGATTGAGCAATAAAAGTAAGTTGATTTCCTTCCTCAATGTTGTGTTTTTCCCTTACAGAAAAGCATCATTTTACTGATGGGATTCGATTAATCAATTCAAATTATTAAGAGTGTCAAAAGACAGTTCCTGCAGTCAATTTTAAAGCAGTACTTCTTCAACGTATTAGTTGGTAGAAGGATTATCCGAAGTTTTTTGAAGTTTCGTAAAAAAACTCTAATATGTAGATAAGTTCTATATTGTTGAGGCGGATTCATTTTTTTACAAACTTATTTTTGGGTATTTCGCCTCAAAAATTTTTGTCTATTTCTAGCTATTTTCTGCTATCGTTATCAGAAGAACCTAAATGAACCTAAAAAAGAGTATGTTAATAAATTGTGTAACAATAGAAGGATAATACAATATATGAAAATTCGCTCTGATAATTCGTCTGTGCAAATTGTCAGTTATGTGACTTTGACTTAATCTCATTGTTTAAATTAATAAAGGTAATGTTAATTAATAATTTTGATGTAAATTTAATTTAGGTGTATGTTTCTCTGGTCTACTTCAGATTTTAGCATAGGTAACCATGTATGACTTAAATTAAATGAACATGAAGCAACACAATTATTTTGATCTAGTAAAATTAGTGCATTCTTTAATTTTACGTTTTTTTGTCGATAGTTCTTTTGTTAAAATTGTGGAATTATTCCATTTAATTTTATGGCAATTATCAAATGCATGTTGACAAATGTGTGATTTATGAAAATTTAAAAAACTCTAATAGTTTTGCATAGGTCTTAAGGAAGTTAAACTATATGCATGTGCAACACTGTTGTACATTCACAGATTTCAAAGATTCTGCCAATTCATAAAATAATTTCAAAAATGTGGTTGAAAGTGATAAGATTAATCTTACAAACGTTCCCTTAATCAAAATCACAAGTCCACAAATTTTTATTTGTGACATTGAGGCGATAGATCTTGCGGTTTGCGAATGCTCTCTTGAGAAATGATTCTTATTTCTTGTTACATTTATATTTTTTGCTGATCTATGGCAGGAATTTCGCTGCTTCGGGCTATAAAACCCCAATTTCTTTAGCAGCTTCAACTTGTACAGGAGGTATCAAATTTACTTGGAGCCGGGAGAAATGAAAAAAAAACTATAAAAAGGATGGTGATCTTGCAGCATATATGCGGCAGTAAGAAAATATTGTTGGCTGTTAAATTAATGCATACAACTTTTGTAGATCGTGTTGGATTGCTGGCAAATTCCGGCCACATTTTCTTAAACTACCTGCTTAATCGTTATAGACTATACAGTCTAATGAACGAATGGCTTTCCAGTAAATCCCAATTAAATGGTGGATCACTTAATTTCAATAGATCTGAGCAAAAAATGTACAGACTGGCAAAGTTTCTAATTAATCAATTACTTCAAGGTTCAGTTGTAGTTCACTACTCCATATAGATTTTTAAAAACTGCGAAAATTTGTCGAAATTATCGCAAATCCCATTTGCTAGATAAGGCTTACGGGGTAATGACCCTTCAAAACCTGAAAAGGCCTGATAAGCTAAAGACCCCAACTAAGGGTTAACTGCGGAAGGTGTTACGTCTTTATCAAGCCAGAGTGAAGCCCATCAGTTACAAGCAGTTACAAGACCCAGACTTTCTCATTTCCTGCTTACTATGCAATTGTATTGGGCTCTTAAAGAGGGTGAATTGTGGATTTGTCCATTATTTATTATATTTAAATTGATATTTTGTTATACGAATTCCTCCATTGAACTTTTTTCTATATCTATAAATATTCGACAAAGAATGTGAAGTACGGCAATTTTTCAAGAGGGCGTGCTGATCCTTTCAAAGACTGTTTCCAGAGGAATTTTTCAGTACTTATCACACACTTTATGTGGTTAGTCAAAGAATCTTGAAGCTTTGTGTTGAGGTAAAACGTTGCAAAATTAACACCCCGGTTGGTTAAACACGTTGTTCGGCAGCAACGCTGGGAGCAAACTCAGCTACTTTGCTCTAAGCTCAAAACAGCTCTAGAATGGGGGTTCCTCACAATACTTTCTGGAGGATGGCATTTTTTCCAGATTAAGCTTTTTTAAACTAAAATCGCGCTTTGACTAGAAACGATTGTGTAGCCAGTTAATTAAGCTCTAGAAAATACCAAGCACTTTTGCAAGCAAAAATTGAAAATGTTTCCATCAGAAAAACTAACATGTTATAGCTCAAACAGTACTTCGGTAAGTTCCCGCCAAGACAATCCGTATGCAAAGCAAATAGGCCGAAGGATCCAGGCATTCCAAAGCTAATCAAACCCTTTCGTTCCAGTCCAGCGACAACGAGTCGAACGCAACCCTTCCGGAAGACAATCCACACTGTCCTTGGAAATGCGAGCTGATTAACGAGTCTGGATACGTAGTGTACTCAGCGCTCGGCTCCTTCTACATTCCAATGTTTGTAATGTTATTTTTCTACTGGAGAATATATAGGGCCGCCATTCGAACTACCCAGGCGATTAATCAGGGCTTTAAAATTACAGGTGAGTACAGGCAATAGTTGCTAAATGGTTCGGAGAATACAAGATTATTTTTCTGGAAAAATCTCATTTCGGTTTCAAGGTTAATTAATTGGAGCAATGTCGCCTCATCAATTACAGCTGGTTAATCAATTTTTCTGGAATTTCTGTCAAAGTGCCCTGTGCTTGGCAGAGACAGGTTTGGGATCCAATTACAATTTGCCTTAATTTTTCCGGCAAAGTTTTCAACGGGCTTCTGTTTGTCCCGATAAAAGTTTGGACATGTTTCTGAATTGGGATTGAAATTGTATTATTCAATTCTACCCCTTTCTACATCTTCGGCTCGGCTTTCTACAAACTTTGCATTAATTTGCATTGCATAATGTTTAAATTTGTGTCTTCCAGCTTTTTCTTGCCTGGATATATTCGTAGTCCATTCCGGAAGCTTCGGTTAATAGATGTGCCGCTACTTTCCAGCTATCAATTAGTACGAACTGTATGGCTTAACTGTTCTTATTTATTTAGGGGTCTAACCGAATTGCTAATTGTGTATCTAGTTGGTCCTGTTCGATATCTAAATTTATCTGTTGACATCATTGGCGGCAATGGATTTACTGAGAACTGTCTGCAAATAAAAACTAATGCAAATATGTTTCTTTAAGTCTAATCTTTTTTCTGAAGGATGTCGATTTATCAAGGGTATTTATTTTTTTTGTACTATTCTTGTCCTTTGTGTTTCCTTCAATTATGACCATGAATAGTTGTGATCGTCCTTTCTTCTTTTCTAACTTACATCGTTTCCGTAAAGCGCTTACTTCATTCTTTCTATGGGCTATCGATATTCTCATTAGCACACAAAATGGAACACTTTTCGGTTATTTATATGGTGTAATTCTGCAGAATTTGCAGATTTGCTCCATTTTTTGCCGGAAGGATCGTATCTTCGGCATATTTTGAATGTTTCGTTAGTGTGCCATTTATGTTGATTCTTAATTTTGGACCTTCTAGAGCGTTCACTACTCTGGTAATTTTATCGACTGGATAGCGATTAAACACACAAACCTGATTCACAAGTCTTTCTATTTTAATCCCTTTCTATCAATAATAAAATAAGCTTTATTTTATTCTGGTGCCTGTATAATCTACATTTATTTCTGAGAAATAGTCGTCATTAGCTGAGTCAAATATCGCGCTGCAGACCGTAAAACACGTTGTAAAACTTTGCAAACTTTCGTGGTTTTCCCAGTTCATTTCTTACTGGCAACTGATTCCCATTAATGTCCAGTTCTAACGTCTACAAAATTAATTTGCGGGGAACATTTAAACATATTTATAGGGCGTATATTTGGAGCACAATAACGATAAGCTCAGTTTTCGGGAAGTTTTATAGAAGTGTTATAAAAGTTGACAGGATCCAGTCGTCTGATAATAAAATAAAACCTGAATTCTACAGCCTCAAGCTGTGTGGCCAGACACGTGGGCCAATCTATTCAGACCAAGCCACGTTATTATTTATAATGCAAAAATATCGAAATTATATAAGCGTTGAAATATGAATAAATTTATGGCATTTTCGCATTATTTGTTTCGGTTATTCGAAATAAAATAGTACACGTTTTATTGAAAAGCTCGCAGCTTGATAACACGATGAATACTTGTTTTTGAAACAAGCCTTAATTGAATTAAAGCAAAGAACTGGAAAAGACAGCTTTTGTGATACTTTTATTCGTTTGGTTTTGGAGATTTATATTTGTATGAACTGACAGATTGAACACACAGTTAACAAAACTTAAAAGAGGCTACATTTGAATAATTTTTGAATGTTATATTTCGCTTACTTAAGTTGTTTACACCATTCAGCAGGTCAAGCCAAACTCTTGAATTTAGGTTTACTTGTTCTTTTTATTAAAGAACATGGAAGTCAAGGAAATAACTCAAACGAGACAGAACATTTATAAATGTAATAAAAACTACAGCTAGACAGTTTATGTGCTGAAATTGTCTAGAAAGAAAGGCAACAGATATAATCATTTCCACAACCAGCATTAATAGTTACGTTTTGAGCAAAATATGGTAATTTCCTTAGTTATCGGCCTTTGAATAAAAATCTACCCGCATGCAAACTGATAGGATATCAAAAACAGGGCACTATTAGTCCACCTTATTCGAAATAGAAAGTTTGCGTGTAGCCACTAATTTCCTTTCAGTTTTCTGAAAATGATGTAATTTGATGTCGTTACTTATTCGAAGTGTCCCTGCTTGCCCCATATTACCTATGTTATAAGAAAGCGTAAGTCCACATTTGCCTACTCATTTTGCTTCTGCACATTTTGGAAAAGCATACAAAATATTTTGGGTTTTCAGTCTCGTTTAGCGTTTCTTATCGTATTTAATACACTGATCCGGCTAATTGCTCTGCTTGTCACGACTTGGAAAAGGTTCACTAGGGGTGCTGTTTACGGGAGATTTATCTCTGCAACGACATAATTATAAAAGGGATGAAGTTATTATAAATATGTTAAATTCCTGGTGACTCTGCTATGCAACTTTTACCATATCCTTTACACGTTTAGGCCCAGAATGTTTTACGCGAGAATTACTTTAAAATTTTAAAATTCATCTACCGGTACAATAAAAGAACTTTTCCTAATTTCAGGTTCTCCAGGTAATCGGTTCGAGCAGCAACGTTTAACATTAAGGATTCATCGCGGCCGGGGCAATTCCACTAAAGCCTCCTACGGCTCTCCAAATGGAAGCAGCTACACAGCTACGACTACAAGCAGTGCATCTCCAAGCCCCCGAAGGAGTCACGAAAGAAAACACGAGAGAGTTAAAATTAGTGTCAGTTATCCGTCGAATGAAAACCTGTCTTCGGCCGCTTCATCTCCTCAACTTATTGCTGTAAGTTACATGATTTATGAGACCGTTTACAACTTGGGAAGTTGCGGATTGCTTTTCATATATTGTTTCTTTGGTTTGCTAGGAATTTTTTCGTAAGCAGCTTTGYTTATTGAATATTACTTTTGTCATTGCTTGCTTAGATGAAATAGCTCTTCAAAATACACGTCAACTTTTTTCTAAATGTTGAAAGAGAGTTCAATTTAAATAAAAGGGATGTCCTTGGTTCACTCAGACATGGAAATGAGCCAAAACGTTGGAGTTTGCCCYTAATCRAGKCSYTCGCGATTGTTTTTTGGAAGAACTTYCAAGTCGATTTATTATGTTCACTGTGTTTTACATGCTCAATCCAGCCGGATTTCCTGATCTTTTACAAATAKGATACATGTGCTTTGTTTGGTCGTGCTTATGAATGTTTCGAAGCTCAATAGCGTCCTTGAGATATGAACGGAAAATAAGCTTGCCAATTGCCAATTGCCAATAATTTTCGAAGCTTTACTTTCTTGCGAAAAATAACAATAGCTAGAAAATGAGTTTATACATTGTTTAATATTGATTTTTTTGAAATACTAGCCTTGAATTTGGATAAGGCAATTACTGGCTCTTCCAAATAGTCATCCAAATGAACCGAAGCTTCAAAGGCCGAGCCTGCAGCAGCTTCAAATTTCAAAACGGCAAAGCTGGAGCATAAGGTTTCAAATCCAGTCCTTGTTCTAGCTTTTTTAATTCAGTTGAAAATCGAAAATAAGGCAAATTCAAATAGCGCTAAAGCTCCCAGTTATCAATCAGAAAGCTTCAAATTTGAACGAGTAGACAATTTCAGGGAGTTTCAAAGTCATACAACAATAATTTGGATTCTTGAGTTTCAGAAGAATAACGACATTTAAAAAAATGTTTGATCGTTTTGAAACCGCATGTCCAACAGCATGATCCAAACTGACCACAGTTACTACTTCAAATTCGTACCGTAATAAAATAGACGCTTAAATCAAATGGACCGATTGCTTCTTAAATCTGAACTTGAACAAAACAGCAACCCGAACAAGTCGACTGCTCAAAATCAACACATTTTTTAGAATTTAAAATGAAATCGGCGCAGGAAACTGGATTGAAATAATAAACGTTTTCTTCTTGGAGATGGACTGTTGTTATTTTAATATTTCACCTGTTCATTAACTGTGACCCAAATCAGCTGACGCAAAATTAGTAAAGAAAATATACTCAGTCATTATATTTGGAACGTTCCATGAAGCAAACTTTCAATTTATTCAATTGATTTGTGTCAGTCTGTTCGATTTTCCTTAGGGTTTAATAAAACTTTATAGCAATGTTGCCGCAGATGCACCCAGCTTGGAAATAACATGTTTCACGTCTTTAGAACAATATTACCACTGCGTTTGCGAAGAAATTGAGGAAAAGCTGCAGTTTTATATATCACATAATTCACTCCCTGGGCACGAGCTGATCGTGCTCAATAACGCAATTTTGGCTCTGTTAAAGACATCTGTTGTAACAAATACTGAGCAAAGCTACTAAGGGTTTGAGCATAAAAAAATTCTTAGTGTTTCTTAGTGTCATTTGTTTCAGGTCACCCCAACATCTCCATCCGGTCATCCTTCATATGTAGTCCACTACTCTGTGAATGGTAAAGACTCAGCAAACTCGGTATTGTGCAACAAATTTTCGCAGAACAACGAGAGTGGGAACCACCTGAGGGTGAATAGATGTAGTTCGAATAGATCAGTGAATAAAAGACGATCCAGTAGTGTGGATAGTGGTAGGGAAAGGGCTCCTAGTCCTAGTCCAAGTGCTGGCGATGAAATCGGATTGGGTGGAAAATCCAAGCTGACCACCCGAAGAATGGGGAAAAGAAATATTAAAGCTCAGGTAAGAACAGCTCAATTATCAGTGTTGTTAAACAGCTTATCGCCTAATAAAAATCTTTCTAAGACACAAGTTTTTATTTAATTCATAAACAAGTTGGCAAAGATCGTGCTTTATCTAAGTGGTTCTTTAACCGAATAAAAGACTACAGCAAAAGCCATTAAGCGTGTGGAAAGGAAAGCTTTATTGGCCAGAGAAAGAACGCTCGCTTGCCAAACTTTTTCGAACTCGCCACAAATTTCATGCGAACAAAAACACAATTCTGGGCGTTATAGTCGAACAAAAACAAAATACGAAACGCCAGAAGGACAACTTCTTCGCAAGTCGTGTGGAAATCTGAAAAACTTTCCTACATTCACTACAATTTACTTGTTCGAAAACGCCAAAAGATTCACTACCTTGAAAAGTAAATAGTTGTAGTTTGGGTTTTCTGTTTTACGTCTGTTTTCACATCGGTGCAGTGTTCATTAGATTTAAAGTTTTCATTAGAAACTTCTTTAAAGTCGGCTAATTAATTATCCAAACTTTCAAAAGCATTAACTTGTTCCGTTATATTAATATTATTAAACATTTTCAGTATTAATTTTCTTAATAGTATAGCCATTCTTTCTTAATTAATTTGTATATCTACTTGAGTATTCCTGTACAATTCCTACTTTAAAAATCCGGCTGATAAACCGTCTCAATTGAGTCAATACAAATTATTCACTTTACCTTCTACAAAAGAGTCTTCGAGTATTTTATTAAGGGATTCGGACGGGATTGTTTTACTTTATTTGCGTCGACCGGCATATTCAGACGGCGCTAAATTAAATTATGTATATTTGACGTTTTCGAAGGCCATAAGTTCAGATTTGGTAAACATTTCATTGGCAAAAGGAAATTGAATGGTTCAACTGGTCAATTCTATTATCATTTCTTAAGCATTGTAAGATCTGCAGGGCTAAAGTTTAGTGAAATCGTAATTGGTATGAAGCGGTAACAGCTGGCAGAATCAAAAAAGTGAATTTGGAAATTAGAGGCGCAGTTTTTTTTTGGCAATGTGGAAGATTCAATCTTGATAAGAACTGAAGTCATTTGGAGCTCTCAAATTTTCAGGACTTTTCAAAATATAGCAATTATATAAAATAAGTTTCGCAGTTTCTTTAAAAAAGTTCCCTGCCTTTTGATCATTCCCTCCTAGCCAATTAATTCGGAAGTAGGTGTGGTTCCAAATTTACTGTTAGAAGGGATAATTGTTTATTGGCCCGCAAAATGCCCCGATCTAACACCCATTGTTGCGATATGAACTAGATTTAACCAAGCCCAACACTTTACGTCACAACAGAAATAGGAGATTTTAACGGCGTTCTCAGACTAAACTGATTTAAATCTTAAAACCTTTTAACAGAGTTTTAAATTTTGAAGGACGTTGACTTTTAATCGGATGTTTGCAGAATCAATCCGACTAAAACAAGTCTATTTTCGGAGTTGCTCCATTAAGCCGAAACGTCCACTTGTTCCACGATTTTATTCATCTAGCTGAGCTTCAACGAGACCGTTTCCATTTTCCAGGTGAAACGTTTCCGTATGGAAACGAAAGCTGCCAAAACTCTGGGCATAATAGTCGGAGGATTTATTTGCTGCTGGCTGCCCTTCTTCACCATGTACTTGGTGAGAGCCTTCTGTAAAAATTGCATCAATCCCTTGATGTTTTCGATCCTCTTCTGGTTGGGATATTGCAACAGTGCCATTAATCCTCTTATCTACGCTCTATTCTCGAAGGACTTTCGGTTCGCCTTCAAGAGGATTATATGCAGGTGCTTCTGCACCGACAAAGGATCTCATAATTCTAGACGCGGATCCGATGGATCTCAATTACAGGTAATTATTTTGCTTAAAAAAGTAATTATTCCCACTTATCAAACTCTAAGTTTATGAATATTGGTGTTGAATTATTGAATTGAATTAGTCTGGGTAGTTTTAATTGAATCATTTTAATTGTTCTTTTTCGAACTTTTCCTTTTTATTATTATTTTTATTGTTATAGTAAAAAGTTTTACTATATTTCCTTTATAATAAATGCTAACTCGAATTTTAAAATATGTATAATTTGTCGATTACAAATGTTTGCTTGTTGTTTAGTTCTCTTAATATGTTTCGCTTTTTATCAATAATTTTCGGATACTTATATTTGATTTAATTAGAATATCTTTTTAATTTTTCAAATGCTTCCTAAATCATGCGTAAACTATTGCATCGTCTTTGCTGTATGATTGTTGTCACTGACTAAAGTCCAAAGAACTATAAGAAACAACATTTTTATCATTTCAGCTTCATCCCCATGTTTTGTTTTCGCGTGTTTAAATGTAATTCTTATTTTACGTATTTGGAAAAATTTTTGAAGAATGCAAGAAAAAAATTAAATTTTGATTTTGTCTAAATTGCTGTTAAGTTCTAAACCATTTATCAATAAAGCATGATTCTTAGTATTTTATTAGTAACTCTACCTTTGCAAACCAATGATTATTTCCTTTCTGTTTAAACCCATTACAATTAATTGTAGCTCAATTTTTTAACAATTTTGATCATTATTAGTTAATTTTACTTACAATTTGAACTTAGATTTGTATGTATTGATTTGCCGCTTTTAAGAGTTTTAATTTTTTAAAGGTAACTAAATTTATTTTAATTAGAATATCTATTTGGTAAATGTTTTGATCCTTTCCCTACTAACCTAGCGACAAAGACAATTTATTGTGATAAATTAAATTTCACAACGAAAAGCACAAAAGCGATTCTTTATAAGAAATCCGATACGGGATGCTTTGAGTGATTTAAATTTTCCTCGGATTTCCAAATATGTAAGTGAGCAGATTATTGAACATCAATGATTGGATAATACAGCTTCAATAAGCTTCATAGCCGAACATCTTTAGGTATTTTGAAATACTATAAAAATATCACAATATGTGCAGAAATATTTAAATATATGGGTTTTTTTTCAAAATAATTTTAGTAATTAGATTATGTCTAATTGCCGGATAAAGAGGGCAATCTTATTGGATTATTGTCGATGGTTTAACTTAAAGCGACGTAAATTCGAGTTTTATTTCTTCCTCCTCATTTATCCAAAGTTGATTTTGGGAACTGTTTACACGATTAAAGATATACAGACCTCATATTCTTCAGTTAACGGCACCAGAGAATATTTGCACTTTTATATGATAAAACGCTTAGCTGTCCAGGCTCACTCCTTCTGTATGTACTTGAGCTTAAAATTAATGTTGCAGAAAAACCGTGTGTTTCTTTACGTTCTCGAAACATTCAAATACAATGAAAATTGACTGCTTCTGAAAACCGCAATATATCCACTTGTTCGATTGGTATTTACATCAGACATAAACTACAACACCGATGTTGACTTGCTGATTTTCCTCCATTTGATTATTTCATTACTTCTTCTTGTTCCAGGGTCGTCAGAACAGATCTCCAAGTTACAATGTTCAAGTTCAAACCAATTCGCTTGGAGAAGAAAGCGATGCCGTTCGAGATCAGTCTGATTCCAGGTGACGCATCTTTGATATGGATACAGGAAATGTGTTTCGATTGGCCATGAGTATGGTGATGGGGTGACAAATAGATAGCCTTGGAGGTAACATTGTAGGAGACAGCGCTGAGTTATAGTAAAGGATGAAAGTCGCTTTGTGTTGCTAAAAATCAGCGTTATTTGTTATATTTGCTTGAAACGCAAAGGAAATTCAAACGTTAATGTGCAGTCAGACTTAGAGCATCTTGGTGTAAAGTGATTGGAATCCTTCCACTATTCTTGTCTCTTTAGCGATAGGAGTTTTACAAGTAAATTACTTAACGTTCATCATCTACTGAAATTGCCCCAATGAGAAACCTCAGTATTCAATTACTGCCTAAGTGGAAGCGAAGGTAAGTTAACGGAACAATTAGTAAATACTCCGACTAATTCAAGGGAAACTATGCCATGCAATTACCCTATTGAACCAATTGAATCATTTAGACTAAAATACTATTTTTAACTGCAAAACGCAAAGTGGTTCAGGAATGAAAAATGAATACTTCATAATGTCTTAAGTAAAATAATTATTTTTCTTTTTTATAAACATATGAAGAGACTTATCATGCCATGAGTGAGCGCGGCTGGCATTGGCAATCACTTTACACTTTGACTTAGTTTATAGCATTTTCCGGGGGTTTCCGAAGTGTGGATTCCATTTTCGCAAACTGAGTGGAAATCAGTTAGCTGAAACGTCCAACTTCCTGGGAGCTCCTCAATTAGATCATAAGGTCAGAGGGATAGAATACGTTTAGGTCAATCAAACAAAATATGGTGCATGATAGTCATTCTCAAGATTTTTGTTTGAAATAATCTGTTCTACGACCCGAATTAAAAGATGCATTTGCCAAGCCAAACCGCAACGGCTTAAAGTTCCATTTGATCTTTATTCGAGATCACAAAGAGCAACTGAATGGGCTTTCTCTAAGTATTCTCGATCTTTTCCTATCAAACGCCCGGCTCCGACTATTGTGAACTGAAGAATAACAGATCCGAGTTGTGGAATGTTTGAATTGCTTTCAGAGCCAAGTTAAATAAAGTTTGAATTTAATTGGAAATCTCGAAAATTTTGTCAGGGGTTCTTATTGGGAAATTTACTCTGGAATGTGTTTGGTTTAAAGGTTCGCTCATATGAGCGAAGAAAACTTGTTTTTGTCAACCAAAAACCATCTAAAAGAAATTAAATTTACAGAGTCATTTACAACAATTCTAAGGCCTACGCAACAATGGCAACAACAGCTACATAGCATTATCTCTGGCACATAAATTTCAAATATTTAAAATAGCTTAAGGGGGTTAATATGAGCAAAAGCCAGGGTCACAAAGTGCCCGCAGGATAATGTAAGTTTGCGCAATTCGACCCTCTTGAAACCGCATTAGAAGTAGGAAATCACACTATAGAAATGAAAATGTGAATTAACCATATTCCCGAAGGGGAGGAGTTATATAAATGGGGCCATTAGCAACAATGGTAATGGCAAAAACAATAAAACACGTTTGCTTGCTGATGTAGAAATGTCTGGCACATTTACAGTGGTTTCCACGTCCCTAACCGACATATTTTCCCGAGCAAACCTTAAGCTCATAATTCATAATTCTTCATGTTCAAGAGTAGATTTCCACGGATCATCTCACATAAAAGCTTTATTTTTAGATACACTTCCTTTTATTTGCCAGTATTTGTTACCCATATAAAAGATTCTCGGTTTGTGCGATGCACAATTTGCCAAGGAATTCGATTTATGGTAACAAGAAGAAACATTTCTTTTGCCGCATACATGAGATATGAAATATTTATTTTAATAGGGTATCTCCGATGTTGATTTATTCAAATTTATCTGTTTTTAAGTGGCAACTGCCCGACATTATACACCATATTTTCGGTTCCCTAAAGCTTTTGTTTGAAGTATTATTGCATTACTCATTTCGGAGAGGGAAAGATTAAACGACTTAACTATATTTGTAGATAGAATAAACGTGTAAATTTCATGTATACTTTAGGATTTAAGACTCAGATATTATCCAAACTATGATGTCATCTAAAACAACGCACAGTCAATAGCTGTAATTTAATTGTTATTCTAGCAGGGTCTACAAATAGTTACAATGTATTTACTCTGGCATTGGAAATTTTATAAAATCAACTGTTGACTGTATAAAGTGAGAGTTTTATATTAGTTTTTGCCTAATGCGAACAATTTTCGTACTACAGAGCTGTGCCCTAAGCGTTAAAGTTAAGGAACACATGAATATAAAATGTTAACACTGAACAAGATTAGCATTCACATTTGTTCTCTATTGTTATTGTTTTTAAGGTATTAACTAGGTAAAAAATCCGGCTGTGTCGTAGCCAAATATAAAACTAATCTTGTAAATACAACGCTAAAACTGTACATATTATATTATTAGCACACAAATATTATAAAAACTAGCATACTTTTATTTATCGTTGAACCAAATGAAGCATGACTGTTTTTATTGTTTAAAAGTTTTTTTGTATGATAGTTTATCTAGCCAAGCAACACAACTTTGTAATCTATTTACTTTAAATATCATGCATTAAACAATTACCTGCAAAACTCAACTTTTGCCACACGTTTTCATTAACGACTGAACTAATTACACAACAATCTCTCTTTTTTAATTTAAATTTACATTGATTCATTTTTTAGTATTAATTCTATATGAATGTTCTCAATGGAAACTGTAACAATGTACTCGTATTTCATAGGATAAATGTTCAAGTAAACATGCAGCATAAATTGGTGGTTTTTTTTCTTTTTGCGCTTTTGATTGAAGAACATTTTGACTTCAAATGGCCATAATACAGTGTTAAAATGATATGCAAATCAACTGAAACAAGTGTTGCTTATCACTTTTAATAAAACAAAATTGGCCTTTTATTAGCACAGCCCTAAATTGCATTAATTATCTTGCTCGCTACTTGCACTGTTATTAAATTTCCATACAATACTCCTTTGTTCCATGGAGCTGGCCAATTTTCCAGGACTTTGATGGTTAATTAGGATTGATTAGGGACGAGTCACCATTTTTTTCGGCCCAACAGAATTTAGAAGTATTGCACAATCCTATCTTAGGACAAAGATTTTTTCGATTTCTTAAGACATAAAGCTTGAATCCTTCATAAAATAAATTGCTGTTTCGTACTACACAGATAATGAGGCAACATGAAATTAACCAACCAACGCTTGCTTGCGAACAGTGTTTTCGATAGACTCTTAGGAAGAATTCGGCAACAGGTGTTGAGAATGAAAACAACTTTATCTAACTGTTGCTGCAGTGTTTGACACTCTGCAGCAAATCGGAAAGTGAAACTAAAGCCTGTCGACATGGAAATTGATTTCAGCAAGTTAAATGGGTTTTTAATGAGCGTCCTAAAAGAAGCTATGCTCAAATGCCTCGTCTTGCAAGTGAATTTTAAAGAAAGTTTGCAAATGGTTTTCCTTACTGCAGAAGGTAAGTAAACTGATCATTTTGAAATACCTGGAACAGCGTTTGTTCACATTGTGTTTCTAGCAGTTGATGAACTATATTTATGATTTTTTTATTTGCTCCCTAACAGCTTCATTTACACGAACTAAGCAAACATCGCCGCTACAAACTCGCTCTCCACTATGACTGATCAATTATGACTTTAATTAAATGAGTGCTGAAGCTGTATTTATCAGCAACCAGGTTGGTACATTTACGTTCACCTTATTTTTATCTGCAAGCGGATTTGTTGGGAAATCAGCCAAAGGGAGGAACATGTAATTAGCGACAAACAATGGGCTGTAATTGCATCAGGGGCTGCATTTTTATCAGCAAAAAGCTTTTGAATGGATGTTGACGTTTTTCCCGATTTTTATTTGAACCTTATTCAGTTACAACCACAGCCTGATAATAAATTTGTTTTAGAACATTGTTGGCTAGTTCTCGATATCTGGGCATATAATTATCAAAGTTTCACTATATAGGGCTGATTGGTAGTTCCCAGCTAGAATATGTGCTACTTCCTTTTGGCTTCGGCCTTTAGTTTCCTCCACTAGGCTCAGAACGAAGATCGTACTTAAGCCACAGATTACGCTGAAGCCTAAAAACGTTGGGCCGATCCCGACGAAGTTGACCAGATTAGCAAACTGGTTGGTGATGAGAAAGGCCAGCAGCCAGTTAATAGAAGCTGCAAGCGAACTGAGAAAGGTTCTCGACTTTGGCGATAATATTTCTCCCATGATCATCCATGGAATCGGCCCAAACCCGATGGAAAACGAAGCCATAAATCCAGTAACACTTACTAAAGGCACAAATGAGAGCGCCCTTAGATTCATAAAGTTGCTGAAATAAAAGTAGAGTCCAAGAGCGGCCAAACATATGGACATGGCTAAGCTAGAGACAGTTAGCAGAATTTTTCGCCCTGCTCTGTCTATGAGAACTGTCGTTATCAGGCTTGCAATCACCTGGAAATGAAAATGAACTCTATAAAGTCTGGTGTCTTGGGGCTGAAAAACTGAGCTTATCTTAAGTTTTTTTTCTTAAATATTTTATTCAACAAAAATTGGTTACTAATATGTACAACATAATACTACGTATTATTTACAACACTTGTCACCGAGAGCTTAAGCAGTACCTTAACGCTATTTATTACTACACGTCTCGGAGCTATTTAGTTAATCAATCTTTTAAGTTTTGCATCAGAAAAGTTCTCTTTGGGCTTTCACAGGTTGCTTCATTGCTTTGGAGCTAGTATTTCTACTAAGTCCCTATTTTGGTAATCAGGGTTTTGCTTCATACAATCAACTTAAACCAAAGTAGTCATTTTATTGCACTTTTCACCAGCAGGAGACGGCGCTTTGCGCCCCACTAAAATATTTGCTACTTCTTCTGTGCTAAGTCCTTTGGTTTCTGGTACTAATATTACGATGAAGCCAGTGCCCAAACCGCATAATACACTAAAGCCCATGAACGTTGGGCCAATTCCAATAGCACTGATCATGTTGGCAAATTGGTTTGTGATTAGAAACGCCAAAAACCAGTTCAGAGATGCTGAAATCGAACTGGCCACACCTCTGGTCTTTGGAGAAAAGATCTCGCTCACTATCATCCAAGGAATCGGTCCCAAGCCGATGGAGAAAAATACTATGAAAAGAGCCACACTCATCAGAGGTATGAAAGAATAGGCTGCCAGATCCATAAACTCGCTAAGGTAAAAGTAGAGTCCAAGACCTGCTAGAGATATGCACATGACTAAGTCGGAGAGAACCAGCAGGATCTTCCGCCCGGCTCTATCGATGAGTAGCGTGGATCCCAGAGTAGCAAAAACCTGAAACCAACAATCTCTCGATAAAATACGGAAATGTTATCCCACATGCCTGGACTAGTTTGCTTGTTAACAGATCTGCACATTTTCTGTCACATGACGGGTTAACCCAAAGTGGTTTTGCGGAATCTCTAACGGATAAATTAAGCCACAAATCTCCAGAGAATTCAGCTGTACAATGACACGTATTTCCGCGTAATATTGTCAGTTCAGGCATTAGTCAAGGGATTTCGATTCCAGTTCTAATTTAAAAAATATCGGCAAAATGATTGAATTTAGCCTCTCAGGGCAACGGATAATTTGATGTTGGATTGTATTTTTGAATTAAGCGCTATACTTGCATTTTTGATTTTGCTACTAAAAACTTTAATGGTTTTCTATCATGGGCTTTATTGGCTTAATGTACTAACATTAACATATGCAATATATAAACCTAAAATATTCTGATTTCCTTTAAAACGCCTGTCGAATATTGTCCTCGCTTTCTTAAATTTTAATTTGGTTAAAGAGTTTTAAATTATTGTAGATTTAGTTCATCGTATAAAACTGCCAGAGAGTAATACGTACATTTCTCGTATAAATTTACACTGATCCTCGTCTTTTCTCAACACTTGAAACGGCGGAGTTAAATCATTGCAAGATTTAATAAAGTTCTTATAATATTAATTCGGTCGTCCAGTAGAAGGTATATTACAGAATAACCAACTCATATTACAACCACTAAATATTATTTGTAAAATTATCTTGTGAGTATAATTATTATTTTATTTTATTACGAAGAGGTACAAAAGTTTGGAAGGCTAATAGAAGAAAGACTGAGAAAGCAGTTTAACCCCAATCGAAAGTTTCCCTTCCAAACACGAAAAAACGTCACAAATTAAGTTCTTTTTGGTTAAATAGACTTATCTGCAAATCATATTTTATGTTCCAGTTGAAAATATCACATTAGCCAAATGGATTAAAATAAGACGCAATATTTTTAATCGAAGCACATACATGAATATGAGCAATCAAGAATAAGTACAGTTAGTTAAAAAAAATGCGAAAAGTGGCAACAATAGTTTAAAAAAAAACTATTCTTTTCGCTTTAGTTTAGTAATAGTTTCTAGTTTTAAAAAAAGTAGTAATTGCTACTTCACATTTACCATGTTCAGCTCATATAAAAGAGCAAGGATTTTTGGAGTCCGTGCTTTCTATCGATATTTTGGCATAGTTACAAAAGATGAGCAAACCAAGCTAATTCGCAGCGAATACCGCTCAAAAGATACCGTCCCTCACACTTAAATTATGCTAACGCCAGCTTTTAATCTGTTTTGCTATTGCACTATTAATAGTAAATAATCGTTTGCGACCTATAAAAAAACCATTTTCGGGCCTTGTTTCGCAAACTGACTGTTTCAGGCCTTTATTTCCAAGCTGATTAAATTCACGGCCGAATTTGGGCACTGTTCTCCTATGAATTATTTATGAATTGAACATATTTGGCTCAAACTATTCCATATGCGATCTGACTAAAGCTCTTTTCTCCCGATTTGATATTCCGCTACGTTTTGTGGTTTTACTTACTTGGACTGCTCCAACCAGTATGCTGCATTGGCCAGGTGAAAGAGAACCTCCACTTTGCTGGAATATTTTGTTGGTATAAAAAAGCACCGCGTTGACTCCGCTTAGCTGCTGAAAGGCCATCAATCCAAAGGAGATTATCAGCCCTTTGTAAGTAGCTTTGCATTTGAAGATCTCGAAAAGCTTAGTCTTGTTTCTCTTAGATTCTTCTATATCTTCAGTTATCTTCACTAATTCGTCATCAATTTCATAGTCTTTCCCTAAAAAATGATAATTTATTTAATCGCTTTGCTCCATCAAACTAGTGAGGTAGGTGGTATATTCTGAATTCGAAATTTCCGCAAGGCTTTGATAATATATCCGCAGCAACGAGATTTTCGCTCTTTTATAAAAGCTTCATTGTGTGCACGGTGCTTAAAAGCTCTTGTAATGATTAATACCGGAAAATAAAAGGAGGCAATATTTCAAGCCTACACTGGCAGGGTGAAACAAAATTTCACAAACCTTTGGGACTAATTGGAAACTTCTTTTCTGGCGCTGCTAGAGAATTTTATTACTAATTAATGGAAAAGCGTAGGAATAATTGCCCATTACAAGTATGAAAAATAAATTGTCTCATTTGAAGCTAAATATAATAAGGCATCAGTTTTAAAACCTTCCATCAAACAGCGGTTTCCAAAAAATGCTGAAGGCAAATAAAAAATATCCGAGCTGAGATCGATTTTCACTCCAAAGTCGACAATTGTAAGAGCAATAAACCAGCCCGAGGAGATTTAAGAGGAGTAATCAATCTGTAAAATTATTTGGGTTAAAATGATTTTCCCATCCTTTTTATAGTTCATTGTGTATGTGATCCCTAATCGTATAATTTTCTCTATGATTTATGACTTAAAATGAAGGTAATATTTCAGTGTTTTGCGGCGAAAAAATGCCTGGAATACGAATAATCCGGCAGGAGCAGGTGATAGCAAATGGAAAGCAGTGATCGATTGTATTTCATTATTCAATGAGCTAATTGTCTATTCCAGGCACTCAAGAAAAATCATTATCAGAATGAAACGCTTTGAAATTTCTGATCTTACCTCTGAACCATAACAGGCTCCTCTGGGCATCTTGCAGTTTGGCTTTTTCGCACAGATAAACTGGGGACTCGGGGATAAAAGCGAAACTTAGCAGGAAGACAACTGGAAGAACCGCCGATATCAGAGACAGTGTTCTAATATCGCTAATTATGTCACCTGAAACCATTAAAAATTTACTGTATATTAGTGATTTTTTCACAGTTTATATTTAACTTATTCATGCTGAAGAATACGTAAAAAGCTGTGAGTTTTCCGACAATGCCTTTTCTATTTAAAGACAGTTATTAAATTTTCTCTAAAAGGTGTATTGTTGGTTTTTTCGTTGTCTCGAACGTGCTGGATAAAGACGTGATATGGAACGTTGAGCTTTTATAAATGCTGGGGGCAATGTAATGCAATAAAATCGGCGACGTGATTGTTAGCGAAGAAATTAAACCACGAGTTTCGCATGCCCATTAAATTCCCATGAAACGCTATTTTCTAGTCTTTGCTTTTAATGATATTTGGAGCGAAATCAGTGAGAAATTTCTAATTGCACCAGTGGATACAAGCAAAATTGAGAAAAAAAGTCACATATGCAACGCACACATGTAGGCTTTTGCTTCCTGAATAAACACCAATTTTCGTTTAGATTTCCTCCTATAGAATAGGAAAATATGCGCCCGCTCCTACATAACTTTCGGATTTATCACAAATCCATCCAAAACGAATACAAAAGGAAAAGTGTGAAAGAGCTAGGTTTTCTATTTGCGTGTAATGCATACTGATTCAGCTGTCGAATCCGCGCATTTCTTTGAACAGATGAGCGACAGCTAAATTACCGTGAAGAATATTAATTCTAAAATAATCAAGAAGTTTTTATGCAAAAGGGTGCTTTAATTCATTGATGTTTTTGGATGCTTTAAGTAATCAGCAAAATAAAACTTAAGCCATAATTAAATTTAGTTGCAGAAAAGTTTCAAACAATTTATACTGATCAGACAGTCTGAATGTCTGCAGTAGCTTCATTAACAAGTTCCATTTGAAACGTGCCCGCCATCTCACAGCCATAACTTACAGTCCTTTAGACTCAGTCAATAAAGTTGTTTTTACCCAATAAATATTCGAAGAGAATTCCAATGGTAATTTGCACTTGGAAGAAGGTGCCCAACGTTCCCCGGATCGAAACATGGGCAAGTTCGGTAACATACATGGGGGCGGCGACACTGATACCTCCTGAGGAAATTCCTGCCAGAAATCGGGCAATATACAAAACCCAAATGTATTTACTGAAAGCACAAACGAAACATTATAATGTTGAATAACAAATTTATTTTATGTACTGACCAAAAAAATGCTATTAAAATCCAAGATGAGAGTAGCGGTATAATCAGTATCTGTAAGGCTCGCTTTCGTCCAGTTAGTTGGGCCATTGGGCCTGCAGGAATGGCGCCTACAAAGGCCCCTAAAGTAACTAAAGAACCAACCCAGGCGCCTTGAGCGGTGGTAATTGCAAACTCTTTCTCAAGTATTGGAATGGCTGATGATGACCAAGAAAATACCATTCCCAGGCATACTGCGGATAGTGTACCTAAAAAGGCCACAAAGTTTTTCTAAGCTTGAAGAAACAAAATCGACGATAATTAAAAAGAAACATCAAAGTACAAGTAAAAAGTTGATAAAAATGTTGCCATAATAATCCCTCAACGGCTTCACATTTTAGATTTTGATGTTGTTTAATTTTTTTGTGTTAATCTATTCTGAATAATCATAATGTGTGACTTAGGATTATATAAAATATATATTTAAAGGTCGGCCGTAATGTACGTCGCATTTATTAACTTATTATTGTCACAGTAATGCTCAGCCTATTAATCAATTCGTATCTTACGTTTAAAAATACAATTTATTCTAAATAACAAAGTCTTTAAGATAAATGTTTCCTTTGCCGAGTTAATATAAACAAATTAACTTGTGGATATAAGTGTTTTTAAACTTTACAAACCAAATATCCAAGATGAACGTTTTCATCAAAATAAAATTTGTTATTAGTAAAAGCGGCTCAAAACTGTCTAGCTACTCAAGCAAAGATAATTTTCCTTAGCTTTCCTTATCTTTTTTTATCGGAAACTGTCTTTATTGTAGATTCATTCGGATAATAATAAAACGAATCTAATTCAAGCTTAGAGGTATCTTTATTGCTTATCTTATTTCTTTCATTGCAGGAAGAAATAAGTTGTAGTTGAACTATCAGTGCATTTGCATTATTTTTGCACTATCTGCAGTTTCACTCAAAGGTCACACATTATATACGCATGATATTAAGCATAAAATATAAAAAAAATTGTATCGACATTCATAATTACATTAATACAAAAAGTACATCATTACTATGCATTATCTGCAGATATATTCGTTGCAACATGTATGTCACGCCATTTGTGCTATAGTTTAGCTGCACATCACAATATGCTTATGAATAGAAGAAAAATTATTTATTACTAAATTTTTGTAATTATGGTCTTGTTTTTGTTGTTTCTTATTGATTTGTTTTAGAGAACGGTTACGGATTTTCCTTTACATCGATGTGTGTTTGTGGGTATAAATTTTAAACTTGCTAGTTGAGTTTACTTACTGACAAAAGCTGCGATAAACTGAGGTGCTTTTCTAGGTGGAGTCAATCCAGATTCGTGCATGAGGGCAATTCGCGAGTGTTCACTCAAAAGCACTGGTCGCGTCATGTTTGGTTTTTTTGATCACTCACTCACGGAAAATGCCCACTTGCCACACTAAAATTCCGCGATCATCTGCATTACATTGAACCATCTTGAGTCTTTTATATGATTTCTTAGGCTAAAGGTTAAATGAGATAAACGATTTAAAATCTGTTCGAGTCGAGCCCCCTTTTCTTCCATTAAAAACGTATAATTTACGGTTTTGGCCGGTACAAGAAAAGGACTTTGGATTGTTTTCATTTTGTAGGAACTTTTATTGGAACATGGAATTGTTGGGTTTGTGACGTTGTATGAGGACAACGCAGATGTTTCAATTTCAAATATTTTTAAAAATTTATTGTAATTGTGCCCGACAGATTTTTATGAAGAGCAAGCAGACGTAAAAGCATCTTGTATGATAGAAACATTGAAATTCCCGGTTAGATCATGGTTATATTCAATTTTCTAATCAATCATTTTCAGATCAAAGATTAATAGGTCTTGTATATCATAATCATTGATAACCATATTTATTCACTTAAGGCAAACTTGGACCTTCATTTTCCCATAGAACAGATCAACATTATCAACACTTAAATAATATATAAACTTTCTGAGAACTTCCGATATTTCCATATTATCTAGTTCTGTAATTGCAATGATCAATAATGTTGTTTTATAAAAAGTGTATTTTTGTAATAATTATTTTGTTCGGTTTTTCAATAAGTTGCATTTGGTGGTGTGGAATTAAGTTTCTCCTCCCCATTTGGCGCCTAATAAAAATACTCTCAATATCTCTAGAGCAGCGATTAAAACGTTTAGCAAAGATTGAGAAGATTTACTCAAGAAAGTGCAAACCCGAACTACCTAAAATTAACCAATCAAGCGCAATAGTTGAAGAATATCAAGGAAAAAAAGGCGTTGAAAATTCGCTTCAATATAATTCAATAATAAATCGCTAACAAAGAAGCAAAAGAAAAAATCTCAAAAATTTCAATTCAAATGACCGCAACACCACAGTTCAACACTTGATTGAACTGAACTTCTATTTAAGCAGAAACTTTAATAAGTCATAAAAAATGGAAAAATGCATTTGTTTAATTTAGAATTTTGCTTAATTCGGGATTTTTAACTGCTTTTAAAATTTGTCAGTAATTAAATCGAGATTTTACTAGTAGATAACTTCTAAAGTTTTTCAATAGCTAACTCTGCTTTTCAAATGCTTCTCAAATTTTTCAGTAATTAATTCGGTGGTTTTAACTCCATCTAAAAATTTTCAACTGTTAATTCGAAATTTTTTATTATTTCTAAACTTTTCTATAGCTAAATTGGGACTTTTAGTAACTTTTTACAGACTCAAATTTTACAGTAGCTAATTCTGGATTCTGTTAACAAAAAATTTAATTCTGTAAAAAAAGCACATTCAACATCAAACATTTTTGATAGCTGATTCGGGATTTTTAACTATTTTTAATTTTTTTCAATTCAATCAGCCCATTTAAGCATTAACATAAACCACCGATAATCATTTTAACTGCTTCCGAAATTTTTCCAGTGGTCAATTCGGGACTTTTAAGTGCTTCTAAAATTTTTCACTAGCTAAATTAGGATTTTTAACTGCTTCTAAAGTTTTCCAGTAACTTAATCTAGATTTAAATTTCTAAAATTTTTTAATTGCTAATTCGGGATTTTCAACTGCAACTAAAATTTTTCAGTAGCTAATTCGGGTTTCTAGTGACTTCTAAAATTAATAAATTATTTTATAATCGTAACTCTAAAACACACAATGTAAATTTAATTGAAATTTTAATACAGAACCCAAGAAGAAGTATTGAAGCACATAAGACAAACACGAAACTAAATCTAGTATTGCACATTCGTTGTGTACAAAGCAGGCACGACGATTTTCTTTTCTGCAACGGGAATTGCTGGCGCAGGAGCTGCAATTGCTGCATTATGGGATAATGCTGCACCTGCAGCCAAATGGTTTTTATCGACTGGAATGTTGGTAGCTGCCACTCTAAACCCTCCCTTGTCGGCAATATAGTTGACTGTTTGCACTATTCCAAAGGCATCGATGTAGGAATATCCTCCCTGGACCACACCATCTGCAGATTGGGTTTCAGATTTTGCACTATGCGGTCCGATGTATCTGGAAATATTAATATAATTTAGACACTTGGAAATTTTGCAGAAAATTGACTCACCCATAGGAATATGGAGAATATCCATTTTGCGCTGGGGCATAGGAAAGTTGTGCTGATGGTGCTACTGGTAAAGAATCGGAGCTTCCAGCATTAGTCTGGATGGGCACCACGTGCCCACTTAAGTTATCAGGAATGGGGCTAATGGAAATATCTGCTCTCAACTGGGCATGAAGTGATAATTCCTTTTCAACAGCTGCCAAATGTTCAGCTCTTGCTCTCACCACCTAGTTGCACACAAATATGACTTAATTGAAACCCACAGAGGAAAAGTGATGATTACCTCTGGCAAGTCTTGCACAGGCTGTGGAGCTTGCGGCAACCCATATCCTAGATGTGCAGCTTGCGCTGTTCGGTAGGCTTCATTAAGAGCTGCTAAATGTTCGGCACGAGCTTTGACCACTTCAGGCAGATCAGTTACCGGCTGAGGAAGCTAATGAAAATATTACATTTTGATAATATGTACATATGTAATTAAGACGCCCACCTGTTGGTTTTCTGGCACTTGAGGCACTTGACCGTGAGGAACTGCAACCGGATTGAAATATGGCACTGAAACAGCTGCAGCTGCAGCATTAGCTCGCTCAGCTTTGATGGCTTCAAATTCGGCCAAATGGCTGGCTCTGGCATGAGCTACATCAGCAGCTTCTACTGGTAGGTTTGAAGCAGCCACTCTGAATCCATGAATTGGATCGGCAATGTATTGAACTGTTTGCAAACGACCATCAGCATCTACCCAAAAAGAAAGTTAGTGAAACTGCTGATCCCTTCGTGGCCACCAGGAGTTTACCAATATAAGAATATCCTCCTCTAGTAACTCCATCAGCAGATTTTGTTTCGCTTTTGGTAATTGCCGGCGTGGCATATCCATAAACGTATTGGCCGCCTTGATCTTGGGAATGATACAGAGATTCTATTGGGTGGAAATATTCCGGAGATAGGCGAACATTTGGCCCACTTGGAGCTGCCGTAATCTCGTAGAGCAAGGCGACGAAAATTGTCTAAAAAATTCAAGTTAGCATTGACTTATTCTAGAAAAAGCTAGTTGAGCCGTGACATTGCTAGAACAATTAAGGTCAACTAACTTTCCACTGATTAAAACGGGCTGTAAACGACAAATAAAAAATGCAATCTTCTATGTTGACTTAACGCAGCTATTTGGGCAATTAGTTTTAATCATGCTAACGACTTGTGCGGCGATAAATCCGTGTAGTCGCAAAATGGAAGATAAGTGTAGTCAAAATAAATGTGCCTTTATCGCAGTTGTCTTAAAATGAGAAGTCAAAAAATTAATTTTTCAAATCTTGGAAAGTTGATGATAAAAATGTTTCACGTGATTACACTAATGGTGTTTTCTTACGATTATTTTGCGTTTAAGCTGAAGATTTGCTATCTGTAACGACATTTTGTGTGGTGAGTGTTTCCTTCAGTAATAAACACACTTCTTGTTCAGAATTTTGGTCAAAGCACCCACTAAGAAGTTTTGTTTAATACAAGTAAGGCTTATGATAAATTCTCTTCAACCTGTCTAACGACCAAGGCCAATCTGGGCACATTACAATTGTTTCAATATTGTCAATGCATATCGATTACCGCATACATTCGCATTGAAGTGAAAAAGTCCCCCATTATATGCAAATTCAACTTGCACCTGTTTCGCTTTATCATGAATTTAAATATTGAACATACTTAAAGTTTAGTCTAGTCGAACTGTTTAAACTGAAACCTGATTTTTATAAATAAATCTAAAGCCAGTTGAAATTCAAAAAAACTATTCAAATTGATAGGAACCCCCCAATATGCAACTTTGGTTTTTGGATTCGGCCATTTCCCAGAAATTTGGATTTTCAGAATCAAGAATAAATTTATTCAAATGCCACCATATTGCAGATAAAATGGAAAACGCTGGTTGAAATAATTTTTGAATTTCAATTAATTTGCGGTAATCAGCGACTTATTAATGCGCAACTGTCTTAAACGACACAATCTAAAGCACCAGATAGGCAAACAGCTGGTATCAACCGGCAAATCCTAAATCTTTCGAGAAGCATAAGGTTCCAATCATTCGCAGCTTTCTAATCTAATAAACAATTGTGTTCTTGCAAGCACGATAAATAATCTTACCAAATACCGCATATTTTCTCTCAATATTCACGTACTGAAGTACAACCACTACTTAATAGAAGCATGACCTTAACACCTTTTATATGGTGCCCCGCCCATGGAGAAAGATTTTCATAAGCTTCCACGTATAGAATGTGAGCCTAAACATTTTTGAATTTCATAAAAATTAACAGACAGCAAAAAACTAATCAATTCAAGGTTCGACATTATCATGAGTTACGTGTTTATGATGTTATGCAAAGGATTTCAGGCAGAAGACGAAGACACTTCCTGCTGGCCTGGGTGCGGTTCAAGATTACAGGGAATTCGTGTTCGTCCTCGGTGCGAACGCTGAAGAACAACAAAAGAAAAAAAGTTGTTTTACTGCGCTGTTTTTCGTGCTTGTACAAGAGCAGGACTTGCACTTGGTATTTTATACAGCATTAGTGCCCCCCTCTTATCAACAGGTGAAGCCAAGTGCACGAATCTAATGCAAATCGAGCTAAGTATTTGATTCTAATTGTCACGAATTTCAATGGTTTTCGTATAAAAAGGTCGAAAGAGCACAGCCTTGGCTAAACGGTCTGTATATCTTAAGTTGCAAATTATATTCAATTTTTTATTTTGTATCCGAAAAGCTGATGGTTTCTGTTTTTGTAATTGCTTTCTCTGCATGCTGGGTATTCTTAGAATATAATCTATAGTTAAATTTGCTTTTATTTCTCGGTAATGAATGCCCCATATATGATTTTTCTGATGATCTATGATGCTAAATTAATTTCGTCACTAGCTCCAATATAACCATGACATAATTCAATTAATTGTAAGTAAGGGATTGTATTTCATTTCGATTATTTCGTTGCATTAAAAAAGCTCATTAATGGACGAAAAATTTCGATTACAGTAACCATTGCAAATATTTATACTTGGGTGCCAATTGAACATTGAAAGCCCTATCAGTTGAAATGGGAAATCCTCAGCTTCGGAGTGTCAGCTTCAGAGTATGTAGACAGTAATGAGATTCTTGAAGAAACTTTATGAAAACTTGTTCTTGGTTCTCGGGAAGTCTATTGATTGATAGTCTCGGGAAGGTATTATTGTCCTTAATTTTCTCATTTTTGTCTTAAATGCACAAAACGCCGTTTGTGTAAATTAATCACAATGAAAAGATTAAAGCTCAAAATTTCTTGCCGTTCACAGAGATCGTGAACAGGCAAAGCAAAATCATCTCTGAAGATGATAGCGAAGCATTAGGACCAGTCTGTATAAATTAGGTATACTAAATAATTCTGATAAAAATATAAATTGGTGTAAAGTACCAAGAAAAAGTTAATCATTAAAATATTTTAAGGGCGTATTCCTGAGCTGATTTTATGAGAATAAGTCAATAAAAATATGGGGTCAAAAATTATTCGTTTCCGGTCTACAGGATGTTAAAGTTTTTCCGGGAGAATTTCCCAGTAAAAGCTGAATCTTGTCTTTTGACAGCGGGTGCTCAGTTCTAACCATTCCTACAGTGTAGGTTTTGCATTTATTTCGTTATTCTCACCATTTAATGGCAGATATGTTTTTATCCACTTGTCTTCGAAATTTTATCAATCTAAGAGTATAACAACAATCGCAATTCGTTACTAAACGGAGGCATGCTTCGAAAATTGTAAGAGAGTTGTTAATTGTTAACTCTCATTAAAAGTTAAATTCTACGTTTAATAAATGCTCAAAATATTTTTTTGCAGGACCATCTGGTCTGTATTTAAAAAATACTGTTACTCGTTAGGTACATTTCCGCCACTGACTGATTACCTAAGTTCAAATTTTGGCTTTTAATTGCCCGTAATAAGAGCAAATCATCAAATAAGGCTAGAATATTGGGATGAATTCCATAATTAAACCAAAAACTATAATTTTTAATTTGGAGATTAAGAAATAAAAGCCATATTTCGACGAAATACTTCTGACCGCATATTTAAATTGAATTTGTCTCATGAAATCAATTCAGGAATACGCCTTTAATGGGAAACATCGAACGATTGTGGACTTTTGGCAAATGCGGTGGGTTGTGATAGAAAATGAGGATGGAGCGCCAGCTTGCAGAAAGCTGGTAAGAATGATCTAATCTATAAATCGTTAGCATGAACAGAGTTTAGTTTTCCGACAAGCACCTGAAGTTTAATGAATTCTTCATATTTCTCTCTATTGCTTTGCTGATTTCAAATAATATTGAACAGATTTCCTGTTGTAGTAAACAAATTTTCTTCTTGATATCCAGGTGGCACTACGCAGCTTTCGGTAAGTTTAGCATTACTTTACCCCGGGTTATTTCGTAGTTAATCTTTATTTAATATTTTGGGCGACTTAGTATTTTTATATTATGCTCATCTGACGCTTTTTGCTAGAGAACCGTTTTAGCCCGTTTTAGATATGGAATGCCCGTATTCAATACAAGAAGCATTAGCTCATTTCAGCATTTCATGCAATTTGAATCAACTTTTGAAGGCTTGAATTAATTTTTAAACCTGAAACCATCTACAACTTTTCTATTTCCTTTCAACCACTCAAAAACAAAATGTTTAAAATTTCTGAAACCGAAAAGATGCTATACAGAACTTTAGACAACTTGACTTAATTTTTCAATTTTCCAAAATTGCAGCTGTTTTACATGATCACATAATGCGAGTTTCAAATTTGCAACTTTGTATCTTTCTCCAATTGCTCAGAAGTTTTGTATTTGTTCTGAAAGTTTGACCTGTTGGAATTACAATTGTTGACTTAGTCGGCATATTTAATAATCAACGCGTGTTGATTCGCTCTGCTTCAATAAACTGCTAATCTTAGTTTTAACTAGCGGTTGTTATCATTTCAATTAGGATAATATAATTAATTCAGTTTAATCTTATCAACAATGAAAAATGACCTTAACTAGAGGAAAACTATTCGCTGATGGTTTAAAAATTTTCGTACTCATTCAGTCAGATGAATTTATTAGTTCTAATTAGCAGCAGAGTAGTACAAAAATTATTTTTTTTGCAAATTTGCTTAGTTAAACTGTAGTGTAATTGGAGAGTGCTCCCACTACACTTAAATTATTAACTAAGCCCCTGCTAAATAGAGCAAACTGTTTAGCATAAATGTGTCTTTTTCAGCTCTGGTGTTAAAAACGCCACATGTTTAGCATGTTTATTGGAATATTTATCATACACGGTATGAATATTTCTGCATTAATTTATGAGCTCTTAATACCCAATGGAGCAGAAATTCCACCTTATAAAAAAAAAACTTGACAATTGAATGTTGAATAAAACACATTCATTTCTGATGTACATTTATTGCACGATATCCATTGAGCTACTTAGTTTTAATTACAACTAATTACAAAAATATACAAAGGTAACACAAATAATGAGAACCACGTCTAGTCTGGTGACTAAACTATTTCGGTGGCCTCATTTTCCACGCGAAGCTTCAAAAATATCTAAAACATATTTCTACTAAATTGCAGCGTAAATTTAGCCCATTGAAAGCATATTTACACAACAGCAATTTTGCTTTACAATAGTAAATACAATTTAATTATCATTCCAAAAAACTTTTTACGAATCAAATCCATTAAGCACTCTAATAGTAATGTCCTGGAAGACCAAGGTGGGCTCCTGATCTTACCGCAGCATGAGCAGCAAGGTGGAAAGCTGTCGCTGCTTGTACTTCAGGAGTCTCCACTGGTTGTCCATTAGGTCCAATAGTGGCTTGTGGTCCGAAGTAGCGACGGTTGGGCTCAGCAAAAGCAGCGGGATTGAAAGCACCAGAATAGGAGCCTGGAAAATAATCTATATGTAGTCAAAAGGACTCCCAAGTATTAGCAGGACGCAGCAAAATTAGCAAGAAAAAACTCGAATTTTTGGGCTCCAAGCGCTATTATTGAGGTCAAAGTAATTATTGCAGATATTCTGTAATTCGCTTCTGATTTACAATTATAAACAAACATTCTGGCCCAGATATCGCCAACTACTTACTAATGTTAATTTGCAATTAAGCCAATCACAACCTTTATCACGTTGGCAGCACAGTTCGCGACCTTCCATTAATCATCCATTCTAATTAATCGCTATTTTATTACTGCGTCCCAAAGGTATGAGAGTATTAAAGTAAAGCATCTGATTTTTCCGACATTACCGTCATTATATCCGGAATATCCACCCCTGGAACTAGCGGCAGTTAGAGCGGCCAAATGATTAGCTTTAGCTGCTTGAACTTCCGGAGTTTCCACTGGAACTCCATTGGGTCCAATCACTGGAATATGAAAACCTCCGTAAATGGCACGACGTTTTCGAGAATGGCCGTAAAGTGAGGCTTGACCAGCTCGAGCAGCAGCTTCAGCATGGGCTTGGAAATGGGCAGCTTTGGCCAGTTGCACCTGGGCAAACAATTAATCAATTTCTTGGGTTTTTTCGGCTAACTTCCTCTCTGTACCTCTGGAGTTTCCATAGGATTTAGGCCGCCGAGGGATATCAGGGGAGATGAAATCAGAGGAACTTGCACCCCATTTCTTTGAGCAGCAATGGCAAAGTTTTGGAAGTGTTGCAATTTGGCGTTAGCCACTTCAGGAGTGTCCTGAGGCAGAGCGTTCTGACCTGAAAGTTCGGGAGTTTTGAAAAAACTGTACTCTCCACCATCCTGAGGAAGGAATTTACCCAGATTTGGTACGGAGAAGGCGGTAAACGGCACTGAGGGGGCATAGTAAGCTCCGGCTGAGGATAGTCCTCCATGGGCAGAAACCAAAGCTGCCAAGTGTTGGGCACGTGCAGCTTGAACTTCCTGCGGTTCTATGGGAACCCCATTTGGCCCGATGACTGGAATGTGTTGTGGTCCTAAATACACAGCTGATGCCACAGCTAAGGCACTGGACAAAAACACCTAAATCAGAAAGCTGGAGTTAGCAAGCTTCAGTTGGCACTTATTTCTGAATTTTCTAGAGGAAGTTCAACATTTTTTACATTGTGATCGACTGGAAACATTAATTTCAACCTTCCCCACGAATCAAAGATCCAACTACAAGGCTGAAACTAGCTGTGCTAAGATACGCTTATAATCTATTAACACCTGATTAGGCAAATTAATACAGCCCACGATAATTACAACTTTTTGCGGGCTCTTAATACCTGCCGACAAGTGAAGCGTTAAATCATAAATATGACTGCAGCTGCAGTTTATCATACATACAGAGTAACATTGATTTTAAGAGATTGCGGGGCAGCAGTGTTTTAAAGCAGGTTGATGATCATTTTGAGAACGGCACTCTGCACATTGTATGAAGAGTACAGACAATCGCCAACGTGCGGCTAAGCACAAGGCACAAGAAGAAGAAGAAGAAGAAGATAATCATTTGAAGAGTATTGCAAAACTTGTAGCAATTAAGTTCCTGTATGGAAAAACTAAAAATATATAAATTGTTAGGCAGGAAGACCGATTGGGTCTATAGCCTTTTTCTATATATATAGTATATAAATTGTTATGGAAAATGTGAAAGTTTGTCGATAAATTGTATCCAAAAACCTGAAATGTATTACAATGCAACACATGCATGAAGTTTATTTTCCTTGAAGATAATCGAAATACGTTCAATCCACAGAATCTTCTTCGTTTGCAAACAAATGAATTTCTGGGAAGAAGCGAAAGTCATACTGAAGCCAGAACTAATAGCACAGATTAAAAATGTGTTGAATTGAATAGAAGCAATAAAACAAATATTTTAACGAATCTTTAGAATCTTCTATTTATTTGATCAGCTTTTTTCTCCTTTTTTCTCCAGAGAGCTTTTTGTTAACATCAAGCTGCAATATAAGGTTCCACGTCCTTGCAAACAACAACAATTGATGTTGTGAAGTAAGATGATAAACTGAAACTGAGCTGTTTCCTGTGATAAATTGTGCACTTCTGTAATAAATCTCAGGCAACCAACAGAGGCAATGGATGCAACTATCCGTTCCATTGCTTTCGAAAGTCAAGAACTAAATTAAAAAAAATGAACTATTCTCAACTCATTATAGAAGTTACATTTCTAGTACCCATATTTATGAGCCCATAATTGCGTATTTACCTCGAACGAAATCAATCAATGAATGGAAACATGTATTGAGAGATACAGGTTTTGATGAATGTGTGAATGTAGATACCCGTTTCATCATTAAATTTATTTGGATGTTCGGAGTTGGATAGAAACCATAATTAAAAACCACTGAAAAATAGCAAAAATATTCTCTATTTTCTCAGCGTCTTACCCAGAGATCTATCTGTGATTAAAGCGTGATAAAATTCTTGCAAACAAATGTTGTCAAGTGAGATTATAAAGAGGAGCAGAGCTGTTTTCGGTAATAAACTGTGCAGCTCAGTCAGTTAAAAAACTAAATTTTTCAAATTTAGCTTTTCTCAACTGATTATATCAGTTACATTTCTAGTACCCGTGTTTTTTAGGGCAATAATCGCGTATTTGCAGCAAAATAAATCAATCAATTGCTGCAAAATAAGTCAATGGAAACATGTATCGAGAGACATATTTCAATGCGTGAATATAGACACCCTTTTAACATTAATTTTTCTTTAAGCCTTTTGATTGACTTACTGAATTAATTGCATATAACTTACTAATTAATTGGTCTGTATTAATTTAAATTATGATTTATTGCATTGAAACTGTTTGGTTTTGAAGAAAATTATTAGGGTTTACTACATGTTGCCACATTATATTTGCATTTAAAACTACGTATAGTGAGAGGAATAAATTAAACACCAAAAGTTTGTGAATTCAAATTTTTGCGTAGGAGTTAACCAGTACGGCTTATGGACACGAGGATTATTATAAATAATAAACGACATTTATGAATGCAGTATTGCAAAAATGCAGTAAATTGCGGTTGAAGAAATAATTTTTCGTATGGCTTTTGATTTTTATTTTTTGTATTCGCTTCTATGATACCGACTCCTTTAAACTGGCATAAAACCCCTAAAAATCTCGTTCTAGTTTGGAAATTCTGCGCATAAACCGCCAAGATAAGCTTTTATTATTTTTCAAGAAATCCACTAATTTTTAGGCTGACTAAATGTTCTACTTGCTAATTTCTGCTGCTCACACCTTATGAAGTAATTCATGGCTGAGTGTTTCGATTATAGTTTCCTCGGCATTAGAATACCTAATAGTAAATCAACCGTTAAATGATAAACAATGTTCGCGTAATAGTTCATGAATGCAACATTGAAGATCAATTGGAGATTTGCTCGGAAAACCGTTGTTATTGGACATTTGCAACCGTTGAGAGAGTCCGTCAATGAATGTAATTTTCTATGTAAAATATTGCGCGTTTAAGAATGTTTTCACACATTTTCTTAAAAATGTTGCTTGTAAAATAAATTATCTGAAATTTATGCAGTACCAAAATGAAAAAATATATATTGTCGTTAATGATCTGTTAACTGCAGTCCTTAATTAACAGTTTCGGTTCGGACGAATTGATCTAAAGAAGCAATCATTTGTGGAAAATAGTGTGGACACTGATAAATAGTTTCAGTATGAAAGAAACAGCTGAAGAAATGAAAGAAATATTACCTTTCAGAGAACTGATTTAATCTAGAACCCAGTTTCAGACAAAAAAATATTACTCCCAATTTTAAAAGTAGTTTTTTCGAAGTGACAGGGCTAATTTGTGCTTAAACCCCCAAAACGTTCAATATATCATTTTGCTTGGGACACTTAGTTATAACTGAAAATATTCCAACGATAGTTTTTCACTGTTTCTTCTCAAAATTTTTGTTTCAACTAACAATAATCTGGCTATTCTGTTCGCAAATTTAGAGGAAAATCAGCCACTAAAGCCACTCAACAAATTGTTTCACTATTCACAATAAAGCACAATAATCTACTCTAGACACCCCACATTAATTGCACTATTTACTTACCAAAAATTTCATGATTGCACTAGATAAACTCTACCTCCTATTCACTATAGGACTGTTGAGTTGGTACTGTTGGCTGATAATGCAGCCACGCCTGGTATATATAAAGCCCCCCAATCTGTAGCACCATCTGAAGAGCAAGGTCCCTTTCACTAGGATATCGGATAACAATGAAAAATGGAAATTTGGAAAAATTGTCCTTTAGCATTCACGTGGGATTCTATTTTGATTGAGGGTCTTGATTATATTTATTATTTTGAACCAGATGCCCAATTTGTTCAGATTAATGCTGCTAGAAAGCTTTACGATTATTGATGCAGACGAGTTTAAGCTTTAGAAGGCTCAGATAACGCTCACTTCCCAAATCCACAATTTCCATAAAATTGGCAAAAAATTCATGTAAATTTGTCGATTTTCATTGCCGGAAATAGTTTGTTTAAGAAATTGATGCCTCTAAAATACTCTAAATTAAAAATTTCCACTATATCAGATGTCATTTTGTCCCAGAATTTGTCAGTCTTTATTAAAAAATTGGCAATTTTTGCGCAAAATAAGTAAAAGTTAGTACCTACATAAAACTACTGATCAAGGAAAACTGTTTAGACAACCTGATTAATAAATTTCAGAACAACAGTAACCGGTAGCCAAGTTGTAAACCGTTCAAACTTTTTAATGTTTCCAGTAAATTTATTAGCCATTTGTTTACCTGTTTATAGAAATTATTGAATAATAATGCTGCTGTTTAGTATGGCAAGAATTCAGTTATTTACACAATGCATTATCCATTACATGGACAAAAATATAAAATCAAATGCCTGCGAATAAAGCAGACTTTTTCTTCAATGCAAGGCAAATATTTGTTTCATGGTCTTCAATGCAAGTCTTAACCGACTGACTTAACACTTTTCTTGTTGCAGTTCATCATTTTTACCATCCGCAATCAATGATTTATTTATTAGAGCGATATTAACAATTGGAATTAATCGATTGGTACGAAATGACCCTGTCAGAAGCATAGTAATGTTTGTAAATTTATGTTAATTTTAATATAAAGTCTTGATAAAATTTATGAATCTCAATGGATAAAACGAGGACAATTACTTTAAGTAATAAAACTACAAATAGCGCAGTGCGGGAAATAATTGTTTAGCTCGATGATAAATTTTTGCCAATAAATAAAGTAAGTATTCCTTGAATGATATCAGTTGACTGCTTTAACTAATGCAAGGTTAAATACGAAGATGTAATTAATTCAACAGATAAAACCCACAAAACAGGTAAAGAGAAGTGCTTCCAATTAATTAATGTTAAAAATCCTGTTCAAAATCCTGATTTTAGTTGCTCTAATTAATAAAACTGTGATGAATTAGTGACCTTTCATTGAGCTAAAAAAAAATCGTTTTCTGCAGGAAATAGACTAGTCTTATCAGTTCCATCGAGAGGTTGGTTGGGTTTATTTAAAAATTTAGTTTAACTTTTTTGCCAAGATGTAGATATTTGGTAAATTTATCTTAATCCAATCGGAAATTTCCTTCAGTGAAAATAGAATTTTTTTGCAGTCCAGTCAAGTGAAAATATCGGCAGCACGTTCCAAACTCTCATTAGCTGGGTTTCGTATGTTATTGTTTTTTGTGTTTTATCGCTCGGCAGGCTTAGGACCAATTAGAGCATGACAAGAATTATTCTGGTATTTGCAATTTTACGTTAGGTTTGACAATGTGGCATTTTAAATTATCCGAGATACCCTGCTGAAACTTATCCACGATATTGATGGTTCATTCGAACTCAGTTGAATCCCACACAGGAAATTTTACTTTTGCAATCGCAAACTGAACTCTCTTTATTGAATCTTTTCATAGAGTTTTGTGTCTTAGAATTAAATAAAAAACATTTTGGAAATTGAGAAATGATTGTCAACAAATACAATGTAGATTGCGTATTCCAACATGCTACCAATATGAGTATTTACTGAAGCAAGTCCAGTAAAAAGTATAATACACATTGCGGTTGCTGGCCATGCGGAAAATAATTTTAGGTAATGTAAGCGAGCCCTAAAGTAGCAGATTTCATAGAAATTGGATCCGGCTCGATCAAAGTCGGATGAAGTGTAGACGGTTTTATTTAAATGTTTATTAAAAATGCAAATCGATTCTTGCCGGTTGCGTAATCAGTATGTCAAAGTTATTGCAAAAATAATTCGCATTAAGAGTCGCTTAATGTTGTGTGCAATTTTCTTAAACAAACATGCAAATACGTTCCTAATATGGACTCGTAGATCCGGATTGCTAAAATTGACTGTCTGCATTTGAGGAATTTAATTTGCATTGAAAAAATTAATTTGTGCTCGTTTGCTCGATGAGGTTTTTACTTCTGGTCATTAAGATAATATCGAAATACCTAAGATATTATTAACTAATAAGTATCCGTAGCTATTTAGCTTGGTAATTTATTTGCCCATTTCAGTTGCAGGTTTTACTATGGTCTATGACCATGAATGTACGATTTGAAATATAAAGCATTGAAAAATAAGAGAAAAGTTATTCTACGCTTAGGGCAATTTAGAATTGTGACCATCTTGATCGGGATCGGAAAACTACAAATACATTTTTCCAAAAAACGTCACTGGTGCGTCTACTTTATTGTTTCTACTCTACAAGCAGGATATGTCTAGTCAGTTACTGCATTCCGCAGTGTATTGAACGGTTTAATTTATACCACACACATCAACTTGCGTTTTATCACCTCTTATCGAATAAAAAACAGCTACAGTAAATCATTGTTCAACCAAGGCTTGAGGACTTAGAAATTTGACTCAAGAACTCGTCGAACTTTTCCAGCTAGGCCATGCCACCGATTTGAAACAATCCAAAAACAAATGAAAAATGATCCAGTTTGCCTTAGAGCTCGACAAAATAATTACTTAAGTAACAGTTATTAGTTATTTAGCAATTTTTCATTGGAGTGCGATCACAGCGAGAACCCATAAATACTACTTTGTATTGACAAGGTTCCGCATATCTGAAATTGGAAATATGCGGTACCATGTGAGCTTTGTCAAGGCTCAAAAACGTGCGGTTCGATTCAAATCTGAAGCCATCGATACCGAATTGTGTTTTTAGTCTTTTCAAATGGAAAAAAGGACTGATTTCTAATGCTCCCAAAGTTAAGTGAGCTTTTGATTTAAATCTGAACCAGACTTGAATTTTGAAATTTTCTACGAGATGAGTTAGCTGCATTATTAAGTACTATTGTTCAGAAAATTTAATAAACCATGAATTTGTAAAATTTAAAAAAAATATGTCAATAAATAAATTCAAATCTTTGAAAAAATAAAAGCAATATACAACTTTAACGAAATTTAGTTATAAATAAGTTCTATATTGTTGAGGCGGATTCATTTTTTTTACAAACTTCTTTTTGGGTATTTCGCCTCAAAAATTTTTGTGTTTAGAAAAGACAGAATTTCCTCACG